GGGGTGGTGGTGAGAGGTGGGAGGAGGTGTAGAATCATCTCCAATCGTCTCTATTGATCTATTCCCTTTATCCTACATGTATTACAACCACTACGTTGCTCCTTTTAAAAATACCCCCTTGTCGCGGTTATCCGTGAATACACTAAGCTCTAGTGCTACTAATGGTCTTATGGTGCTGTCGAAGTTATTATGTCGAGTCTCAGAGGAAGAAGTGTGTCTGGATTAAAGTAGTTTGGGACTCTTCAACCCGGTTTTTAAACCAGATTATACTGTTGTGGGACTCATCGTTATATACCATGTATTTTCCAGGGTTTCAGGTCCGATCCGCCTTCAACCTACCCCCCGATTGGAAAGACAACGTACCCTACGACATGGATTCCAACCAGCGCCAGTCGTATCAAACGCCATTCCAGCAGTCAGAGCTGGTCGTCCCCACCACACGATACGGCAGTAACGGCAAGAAACCCATACCGTCCGTGGCAGTCAGTAAGTATATCAAACTTAGACTGGGTGCCTTTGGTCAAATATATGATCGGGTTTGGTGGGGTGAGGTGGGGTCGCGTCGGGTGACGTCGGATGGGGTCGGATGGAGTCTATCGTGTCGTGTCGTGCCTGTCATGCCGTCCCGTGTCGTGTCGTGTCGTGCCGTGTCCTTTCGGGTTGGGTCGGATCCCGTCGATCAATGGCGTCGGCCAGTGTCTTCTATACCCAACAGACTTAGATTTACCAAACCATATCAGAAAGAAATTTGACGAAGCATTTTACAGTGCGCACTAACTGTCAGTTAACGAGTTAATCAAATATATCTTTGTTTTTGTTTTATGCAGGTGTTTTACCCCCCTATTGACGCAGTTTAGATCATTTAGGGGACGGGTCAGGGTAAAAATTGGCGCTTAGAGGGATACAACGTCCTAGCAGAAAGAGGGAGATGCTAGATATCCCCCCCCCCTCCACACATACACACGGAAATCGAACTCGAGATAAGGTCTCCTGCGTACCCCAGCAAAGCACCTATCCGCTACACCACATACCTCAATACTCAGACTTAACCCTGGGTTTTTGCTTGTCTTCATTTGTACGTTCATGAGGTGTTTTTGTTTGCTTGTTTGTTTGTCTTGTTTTCGTCACCCATTCTGAAGTTCTACCATTGTCTGGAGTTCACTTTTTTTCATGCTCTTAAAAGTCATGAGATCGAATCCTGTGGAGGAAATATTGTATTTGTGAGAACACTTCCTTTGAAAAAA